CCTCAGCCAGACCTTAAAGATTTACAGTATTGCAGCCCTGCTTTGCGTTTTAGTGCAGACATAAAGCCAGCTTGTCATGGTTCTCAACAATGGTCAGTTAAGGGACTGGACGTGTTGCTTTATGGCACCATGCGATATCAAGCTCATACCTGCACAAGTGCCAGCTGCGTATACACCAGTGCTTCAATCAAACATCCATATCACAGAAACTAACAGAAGTAGTCCTCAGTCAAGTCAAGGAACACACTCGTCCATCATGGGGTCTGTAAAGCAAGAGCAGGTTCCGATATTGGTCAAGGGGCTTGGACACAATCAGTCGACAGCTTGGGGCAGTCCTGGCTGTTGGGGGGGGGAGGGGGGCGGTCTGTACATCTGCAGTCTGGTGAGTGAGCCACAGTTGGTCCTTTAGGTCCAGTATATTCACTCCTGGAGTCATCGGAAGATTGACGGGGAGCTGAATGGAAACCTGGAGTCTGGTTGCTCATCATTCAGGACTGACCATCTATTTAAAAAAAAATCAGGATGAGGGCGGGGTGTGGTTTATTAGGGGGCACTGTGGTGGGAGGGCAGCTGTGAAACTCAATTGTGGGGATTGGAGGCAGCTTGCTGGGATGCTGAGGAGATTAGAGCTTCCGGTACAGTAAAGTTGAAACACACTCTGAGGCTTTTGGACCTGGCTATCTGTGGCAGCCACCTACCATCTGTGGAGGCAGCTAGACATTCATGTGCCTGAAGCTGGTATTCCAATGGTATTGTTGCCATTCTGCAAATTTAATTTCAGGTTGTCCAGTGCCCCAGCAAACCTGCCAGTTTCTCCTGTGCATGTCAACTAAGTGACAAATTGCTGACATTGTGGTGTCCTGTCAGTCTGGGGCTGAGCAGATGCTTTCTCTCTGGCATTTCTGTACATGCCAGCAATCTGAGCAGTTGTTCCTTAGCCAGCTGCAGAGATGTAGCATTGAAGTGATGAGGGTCCCTCATCATCCTGTTTAGTGATTTTCTGTAAACCTTGCCTTGCACAGGGGGCGGGTCTTGCATCAGGAGGGTAATATGAATGTTACAGCTCATCTCATGGGAAAAATGTGTAGGATTGGGAACAGGTGGGATAGGATGATGAACCCCTTGCATTAAAGGCAAGAGCCTAGGATTGTAACAATTTTCTTTTTGGACAGCTACATTTGATTTATGGAAGTATTTTTTGGTTTATAGCACTTACATGTTTTCATTTTCACTGGTTTGCTGATTAGATGATGCAGTCAAATAGGTATCTGCCCCTTTGAGTTTTGTTTTGATGTATGAGGTGTTTAGACATTCAAAATAGAATTGGAGGAATTCATCAACATCGTCAATAATAATTGACCCTCCACTAAATTAATATCCCAGCATGCAAGGAAAGCATTAATGTATTAGCTGCCACAGTATTTAAATTACCATGAAACAATGGGCAAAACGTGGCAATAAAAGTTTTTTTTTTCAAAATAACTAATACACAGATATACACACAAGAAGTCCCAAACACACTTCTTACAAACTAGTGAAGTCACAGCTGCTGACTGAAATCTCATTTGGGCAGAACTGAACAAATTTAACCAGGCAATTGTTCGTGTTTCTATTGCATTTCAGAACTCATTCGTGGATTTAAATTTAACAATTGGCACAGTGATAACTACAATATCACCAACGACATTCTTCTGCTGTATAGTGGTACCTGAACATAGGTAGCCTGGATGCCCAAGAGATTTAACATTCATTTACAAGAATTTCATTACCTCAGAGAGTTCAAGTTTCCCTGGCTTTTAGTTAGCTGAGAATTTCTTCGTTGACAGTTGAAAACTATTTCTTTACGCCCTCTCTCTCTTTCCCAAACATTCATGTTCATTGGCCAACCTGAGAAAATGGATGACCCAATGTCAGCAGCCCACTGAGGGGACAGTGTTGTAGAGGTGACATCTGAGAAAACAGCAAAAATAAATGATTGACATCAGTAACAGTGACGAGATTTTCCCTGAATTTTACTATCAGTTCTGGACATGTGCCAAGACTAAACAGCTATGAATGCCAGGTGCAATTGTATGTTTTTCTGAACAAACTTATGACTGTTTCCTCAAAGTGCTGTCAATGCATGTGTAGCTGAAATGGATCAGGCTGACCCATGACCTGGGATGAATTTGGTGGCTATCCTCTGGCTGCTAAAGAGCTTAGAGAGTTGTGGTATATAAGGAGTCTTCTGTACAAGAGACACCCCTCTGTCACTCTAATACTGAAGTGCTGGTCTCCCCAGATAAGGAAGCCAGCCGCTTCTGCTCTCTTGCAAGGCACAACTTAACATGCCAGCAGAGCTGGAGGAGAATCCAGATGCCTCTTCTCCCTCTGACTTTGCAAAGTTTGAGTTCAGGGGCAAGGTCATGGTTTGAAGGTACGTCTGTATCTCTCACATGCTCTGAAAAGTCTGCTGAATCTGGTTTGCATGAGGGTTGACACTGTCTTGTTGGAAGAAGCCATACATTTGTGCCTGAGATGTGAACCCACTCATGGTCTGGATAAATTCATACACCATCTGCATACAGCAGCGTATAGCCTCTGGAAACTCCATCAAGTTGCTTGCTGCAACTCCAGTGTGTGGCTCATAATAGCATGGGGCTCAGCAGAGGTCTGGTCTCCCACACACTTCCAAATGTCAATGACCTTGCCTGTCACAGCCTCTGTCAGCAGCTTGGGAATATCTGGGCATATAGTTTTTTATTATGCTTCTTTTTGAAAAAGTGATACAAGTTATACGAAGTGTTCCATGTCATTAATTATGGCGGAAACTATAAAGTAGCCTTACACATTAAAGCAATAGTGGCTGAAGTTAGAAACTGGCAATGATTATATCTGTGTTGTCACATTTTATGTCAAAATAAAAATGTTTGACATGGAAATTGTATGAAATCAATTCAGGAAACAGTGGTTGGTAATTTGACACAAATTGAGAACATTGCACACATTTAATTTCTGCTTTATAGACACAGACATATTATTTGTGAGAAAATCTGAAGCTGCATTGTGCCGAAATGAAATATTTACTGAATTGAATGTTAAAGAAAATGAAATGTTAATGCTATGAATATTAAGTACTCATCCAATAAAAGCATAGAGCAGTGCAGTGCAGAAGGAAGATATGTGGCCCATTTTGTCTGTATTGGCTGTGAACAACCCCAGAACAACTATTACTATTACTATTACAACTACTACTGTTCTCTCCTCGCAACCCCATGATTTCTCTGATTCAATTATTGGATCACTTTTCCCCCCTGAAAGACGTTATTATGGCTAAGCTATGCCTGTGGTTAAGAGATTTCTTCCGAATTCTTTCCTCATGCTTGCTAACAATCGTACATGGAAGATCACTTATCACTGATTCATCATTAAGGAATAGGCCATAAAAACTCTTCCAACCTTAAAAACCTCCATTTGACCTTAGACCATAAGACCATAAGACACAGGAGCAGAAATTAGGTCATTTGGCCCATCGAGTCTGGTCTGCCATTCAATAAACTTCTCAACACCATTTGTCCACTTTTTCCCCGTAATCTATGATCCCCTCGACAGCCAAGAACCTATCTATCTCTGTCTCAAATATACTCAATGACCTGGCCTCCACAGCCTTCTGTGGCAATGAATTCCATAGATACACCACTCTCTGGCTGAAGAAGTTTCTCCTCATCTCTATTCTAAACGGTCTACCCTTACTCTTAAGCTGTGCCCTTGTATCCTAGTCTGTTCGCCTAATGGAGACAGCTTCCCAACACCTACTCTGTCCAGGCCATTCTGTATTCTGTAAGTTTCAATTAGATCCCTCCAATCCTTCTAAATTCCATCAAGTATAGACCAAAGTCCTTAAACGTTCCTCATATGTCAAGCCTTTCATTTCTAGGATCATTTTGGTGAACCTCCTCTGGACCTGCCCCAGGGCCAGTACATCCTTCCTGAGATATGGGGTCCAAAAGTGCTCACAGTACTCTAAATGTGGTCTGACAGAGCCTTATAAAGCCTCAGAAGTACACTCCTGCTTTTATATTCTAGTCCTCTCGAAATAAATGCCAAGATTGTATTTGCCTTCCTAACTTCTGACTCAACCTGCAAGTTTACCTTAAGAGAATCCTGGATAGGACTCCCAAGTCCCTTTGCACTTCAGACTTCTGAATTTTCTCCCCATTTAGAAAATAGTCTATGCATTCATTCTTCCTACCAAAGTGCATGACCTCACACTTTCCCACATTGTATTCCATCTGCCGCTTTTTTGCCCACTCTCCTAATCTGTCTAAATCCTTCTGCACCCTCCATGCCTTGTCAATACTACGTGTCCCTCCGTCTATCTTTGTATCATCTGCAAACTTAGCCAGAATGCCCTCAGTTCCTTCATCTGGATCATTAATGTATAAAGTGAAAAGTTGTCCCAACACTGACCCTTGCGGAACACCACGTGTCACCGGCTGCCATCCTGAGAAAGACCCTTTTATCCCCACTCTCTGCTCTCTGCCAGACAGTCAATCTTCTATCCACGCTAGTACCTTGCCTCTAACACCATGGGCCCTTATCTTACTCAGCAGCCTCCTGTGTTGCACCTTGTCAAAGCTTTCTTGAAGTCCAAGTAGATAAGATCCATTAGCTCTCCTTGATCTAACCTGCTCGTTACCTGCTAAAGGAATTCTAACAGATTTGTCAGGCATGGCCTCCCCTTGATGAAAATTTGCTGACTTTGTCCTATTTTAACATGCAGTGCCATGTATTCAGAAATCTCATCCTTCACAATGGACTCCATTTTGGAGGAAAAATTCATCAGGGAAATATTTCCAGGGTTAAGTACTTAAAATTCATAATACTTTTCCAATTGAAATCCTTTGTGTTCTTTCAGTTCCTTTCTCTTTTAAAGTGCATGTTTATTTTGAATATGATTTGTAACAAAAGATTGAAAATTTGGCAAGGATTAACTAGTTAAGATTTTCTTCATTTCTAAGGAGTTATCTCTAGCAACATCTACAGGACTGGTAAGTTGCTTGTTTCAGAATTACTTCCTACCTTTGAAATTTCTTCAATATTACAGTTTTGTTTCTCTGATCAGTAAGTTGCTTTTATGAATTTGCTTCATAAATTCAAGGCTCTTAATCATTATATGATTTTGCTGCACATTGGGGTTGAAAGGAGCCATTTATTTAAAGCGTCATCTTTCATACTGTTGAAATATTCTTCTGGGAAGGAGGGATGGGTTCCAAGAGAACTTCAGTTTGTGTGGAAGTAAATGAAGTGTTTAATTTTTAAATGATCCTAAGAGTATGATTTGAGTCTTTTTTTAATGTTCAAGTGATATTGTGAGTTAATGTTTTATTCATTTTAACAAATGTATGAAATGTGACAATCTGACTTTTAAATTCGCTTTGAAGCATGCTTGTTACTAGTTACATAAGCTTCGTTATATGGAATATACTCTTAAATATGCAATTATGTGAACTGATCATTACAGAATAATTATACTGAATTTCATTGTGCTGTTGTGAGTACTGTGTAAGAGTACAACAGAATCAATGCCATTCATTTCAAAATGCTATAACAAAGAGAGTGACTCATGACTGTCCTGTATTGTTCCACAGCAAAATGTTAAGCTTGCAGAAAAATAATTAGATGATTCTAAATAGGGAATTTTTATTAATCAATATATTAGGAGCTGCTCTATTATGAAGAAGCAACATCTTGCATATTTATTTTTCCAAATTTGGTTTGTATCGGGAAAAAAATGTTACGTATTTTCTGATTCATCCTATTTGTAAAAAAGTGTTGAATTAAAAATGCTAATGAAAGTAACTGACCGCTAAACTTGAGGTTGGCAGTGAGTTCACGTATGCCAGGGCTGATTTAGTGTCCAACAGCCCCCAACAAGGCCAGAGTTTAATTCTGAACTTGCACTTGGGTTTAATAAAAATAGAGAAGACAACTTATAGGTGTAAAGTTGGTGAAAAGGAGAAGAGTTAAGCATGTTCTGGACATTAGATTCAACAACAATATTAAAAGATAAAGTTGAAGCCTCATTGGAGAGCTAGAAAATGTATGAGTTTCATACATAATAAATATTTTTGTACAATAAATATTTTGGATAAATTATAACGTTTACAATGATGTGGTTATTCATTATACCCTGTGAAAACATTCAAGTTACTGTTTCAGGGATGCCATCAGCTCCTGAACCAGAATCTGGGTATTGCCGCAATTTGATTACAGAGCTGGTTAGAGAATGGTCCTAAGCATTAGATGAAGAAACACATAAAACGAGTACATGTTTAAAGAATAATAATGGAAAAATGAATGCAAATTTGATTTGATGTTGATCATTTATTCTGGAGAACAATGAGCACAAGTAAGAGCAAGGAGACAGGGTACTCTCAGTGTTATGCTAGTAATTAGCTGGGGGCGAGATGAACTCTAAGCAGAAAGGTATGTTTATTTTCCTGTGGACATTTATTGCCTAGAGGGCAGTTAAGAGTCACTCACATTGCTATGGAGCTAGAGTCACATGTCGGCCAGACCAGATAAGGACAGCAGTTTCCTTCCCTCGAGGACATTTATGAACCAAATGGGATTTCTCCATCCATCAGCATCAGTTTCATGGTCATTATTCGATTCGTAATTCCTGATTTTTATTGAACTCAAATTCCTCTATCTGTCATAGCAGGATTCAAACCTGGGTCCCCAGAGCAGGATTAATAGTCCAGCGATGCTGCCATTAGCTCATCACCTCCCTATGTGTGGTTATTGTATGCTATCTATTGCCAAAAACTCTACATTACAAATAATCTGGTGATATACTCTGTATGCTCCATTAAGTGCCCTGAGACAAGTATCCAGTATGTTTTTTCTCTTTTCAAAAATGATGATGTGTCTTGGTCAGCAGTAATGGCTGAGTTGAATGGGAGATTATGTCCCTGGCTTACATCAGGTACTTTGGGGAGAAAGTTGTTTGTAATTCCTAAAAATTCTAGGAAATTCTATTTCTGCACCCTCTTCAGGTGACACAGATCAATTTTAATTCTCACTTGGTTGCAAGTGAATGAGTGTAAAACAGACTTGCAATTCCAGATTTCAGACATGGGAGGTTTCCATGGGATTGAGGTCTGCCTATGACATTTCCTGGAAGAATATATTACTTTCTTTTTCTGGTAAAATTCTATTCTCGAGCCCAAGTTAAAAAGGGGAAGTGACAGCATTGTGTGAATGCCACTAAACTAGTAATTGAGAACCCCAGGTTAATATTCTGGAAACAATAGTCTGAATTCCATTATTGCAGATGGTGAACTTTGAATAAAAAACTGGAATAAAGAGCATAACTGTGGCCGGGTAATCATTGTCAATTGTCATAAACACTAATCTGGTTCACTAATATTGTTTAGGGAAGGAAATACGGGGATAGGATGGGAGCTGGGTCTGGATTGGCTGCTCTTTGGAGGGTCGATGTGGATTTGATGGGCTGAATGGCCTGCTTCCCCACTGTCGGGATTCTATGATTCTAGAAATCTACCATACCTACGTGGAATCTGTCATCCTAAATGTGACTCCGGACCCACATCAATATTGACTCCTTTTGGGCAATTGGGAGTAGGCAATAAATGCTGACGTACTGAACAACATCTATATCCACTGAATGAATCAACAAAATTACCAGAGTTTCACTGTAGCAGTGGGACCTCAACTAGCTATAAATGCCGTGGGAATGATCTCACACGAGATGCCGTCAAAATAATGAGGAGAGTAGAACATTTTGCAGTGGTAATTGAAAGGAGAATTGTGTCCTTTTTGAATTAAGTCCAGGGGCAGAATCTTGTGTTGCTACCAGCAGCAGGAAATGAGGCAGATGTGCGGGCTTCATTGTGCTGGAGGCGAAATTCAGCTTTCCAACAATGAGATGAAACACAGGAATTAATGTTGCTGTGGGTTGAATTTGGATTCAGCTTCCCGACAGTGTGCGTTATGAACTTATTTGTAACCCACTAGCATGTCATGCTTAAATAGTGGCCTAGCCAATGAAGCCTACATCCCATGACTGAATTTTTAAAAAGTACTGATTAAAACTATTTCACCAGATTGAGTAACAGCTTTGCAGTACACATGAGATATGTGCTTTCAGATTGATGAGTGATTAATATTGATTTACAGCAGGAGAGATTATCTTCCTCCGTGGATTTACACTGATTAGGAGCTTCTTTTCTTTCATGGAGAATTTGATTGGACCATGGCGGAGAAAGCATGGATACATTATCAGCCGTTGGTGTGCAAGGGGATCAGCATAGATCTCACCAAGGGAGAAAGGGAGGCGCTGGGAAGCAGAAGCACCCATTGTTCCCAGAGAGCTTGGAAGAGAACCTGAAAGGTGGTTTAATGATATCAGCCCAGATTAGTAGGTGATAACAGGAGTTATATGTAACCCGGGGGACGGTATATCCATTGGGAAAAGATGTGCCAATAGTTGCAGCAGTTGTGGTTACCTACAGGTTAGGAAGGCAGGGAGATCAGCAGTTGTGGTCTCAAGAAGGCCACTTGCATTGCCAGATTGATGCTACCAGATTTCAGGAAATGAATGCCTCCCTGGATGACCTTGGCAATATGGCACGTAGACCTTTTGAGGTAATGGTGTGGTTTTCTGCGTGCTCCTGCTGCACACTGAGCACCATGGGTATTTCATCTGTGAATATCAAATTAGATGGTGGCCATTTTGTCAATGAGTAGAAAGCCCATGTGGTTTCAATCCCCCAATGGAGATAACTGATGCTGAAACAAGATTCCAGCCTAAGGCATGTTGTGGAGACCAACTAAAGAGAGCCTTGCCCTTTGCCTGAACCTACCAACCTTAGATGTCATTGATTATTGTCCTTATCTCTGACTGACTGTTACTTTAACAGGAACACTGGAGAAAATATGTAAATAGTTGAAAATACACATTCTCTCCCTTTCTTATGCCTGTGGAAATTCAAGCAACAAATATTTAACTTGAGTGCTTAGCAGTGACGGTAAAATGTTGACGTTCTCATCTTCCCTAAAATGTAAAAACACCAAATGAAACAAATACCAAATAAACTAAATAATGTGATCATTAAACACCTTGGTATTTGAATTCAATTCATTTCTCAGTTACAAATACTGAGCAGCATACAAAGGGAATAAGAACCACATATCCAGTTTATTTTGAGCATGTGAGTGATTTGAGTGCATGACCCCTTTTAAATTTCTTGCTCGACTATGCATGCCCGTCACCTTAAAGGTGCCAACTTGTATTGATTCTGCAAGGGGACTGTTGGTTGACTGCGTGCCTGCTCTGTTTCAAAGGAATTTGAATAAGACCTTTTGATACTGTTGGGAAACCATTTCAATGTTAAAAATCTTAACAATCCCAATATGGATCACATGGTTATGGGAGAAATGCTGGAATACAAATAGGGAAAATTTGACTTGACTGTGCAGAAAGAATCACATCTTCAATGCACATGTGGCACAAGTGTGACAGCATGGCACAGCCTGGATTATTGCAGTCAGCAAATGAGCACATGTCAATTGGTCTTTGAAGAAGATGCATGAATTAAGACCAAAAAGAAAAGACATGAAGGTTACCATAAAGTAACAGCACAGGACACAGATGGATATGACATGAAACAAACGCTTTGCTGACATAGAAAAATTGAGCAAGAATGAAACAGAAGAAAGTGAATAAATTAATGCAAATGATATAATACAATCAATTATAGAAATGAGAATATGCTGCACTTGGAAAGGTTCATAGGCCAAGTGACAACATTCGGCTACAATGACCTGCAGTCAGCAGCAAACAACCAACTTGCCATTCATAACATTTTTGCTTGCACACAGCTTGAGTACTATTTAAAGGAGGTATTAGGAGTCTTAATCACCATCTAGACAGCTAGTAAGAGGCTCTCATTGCCTCCTTTAGGTGAAGAGCCACCAAATTAAGTGTGACATTTTGCACTGCGCTGTCAGGAGCTGTCAGCTA